TTTGACTTCTGTCTGCTCTGATGAGGTTATTTGTTGACACAAAGAAGTCCCTGTTCCTTAGGTAAGATTTAAACCAATTGACTAATGGACCAGAGAATTGAGGTTAAACTCTCCACTCAAGGTTGCTCAAAGGTTGTTATTTGAAAAGCTACTTTCATAAAAACTCATTTTATGAAATGAGTGCCTCCGCACATAAGTCTTATTTATCGGCTGTGACTAATTCTGCTAATGTCGGTCACCCAGCAAAACCCAGAGATCTTGTTGCTGGTGGTGACAGAGAAAAAGAATACATAAGGATTATTTACAGTCACGTTTAAACTAAAATTAAATTAGACTGGAGAAGAAAAAAAAAAAAAAACATGAACCAGGTCCAAAGAGTATTTGACACACATCTGTTGTAGCTGCATGAAAATCCAGCTTTAATTTCAAGCCGTCGTTATTTATGAATTCAACGGTGCCAAAATGCTGAATTCCCCGACCTCACGGACCCTCCGAAGGCTCCCCATGACTTCATTTTATTGGAATTGAGAACACATGTTCCTATCCGGCCTCAGTGATTTTAACATGAGCAGCACAGTCCTGATTCTTCCTCTTTCGCTCCACGGGGGTTGAACTAGATGTTGGATCGCTCATGAATTAGTAAATGTTTCTGTGATTGAGCTGTGCTGCTTAGTTGAAGCGGTCAAAGCTTTGTGTTTGAGAAACAGTTTTAGTTTAATACTCACTGTTATTGCAGGAAGGAATCTGCAGATTGCACTTTTGTTTCGCATTGATCCAGGTACCGTGTAAGGTTTGTTATTTTCCGTTTGAGTCTCCTTTCTCTATCTCTCCATGAGGCTATGTTTGGAAACTCTTTCATCGGCGCAGATGTCAAATAGAAAATTGCTGCGCAGGAGTACAAGGATAAAAGAATACCACTGATATTCAGGGGGAAGAGGGGAAAAAATGCATATAGTCATCTTCTGAAACGATGGCAATAAAGGTCTATGATTACATTTCGGAGTTGAAATGTGCACTGAAAGGTCACCCGTGCTATTTCAAGTGGATGGACTTCCACAAAATGGCCTTACGCACAACACATATCAGAAGCTGTTGTAAAAAAAAAAAACAACAAAACGACGACGACTTTGATTCAACCAGAATGAATCAAAGTTTGCTCTGCATTTCACCTTGTAAGTATCAAGCGGTTGATTGGCATATAAAACGCATTTGATGAGTTTTAGGACACATTAAATGCCACAAACAATGAAAAGAAATTTAGTTGGAAGTGAAAGTCATCATCAGGGAAACTAACTATTCTAAATATATGTATGAACTCAGAATATCCTTTCATATAAGTATGTATGTATTAGAATTAGATGCCTCTCTGTCGCCATGCTATCTAGCCTTAGCATTCACAACAGGCTCAGCTGATGAGGAAAAGCTGTATTATGGCAGAGAGGCACGTACATGGGGATGAGTGACAGCACTAAGACCCTCCTCCTGGCTCTGATTGGTTGTTTCTAGTTAGTATCAGAAGCACTTGGAAAAGGCAGCTTCACAGATTAGCTGTATCATACTACGCCGTCACGACATAGTGACAGTTTCAACAAATATATCAAAAATATATATATATTTTAAAAATAAAAGTTACATACTGTAGCTTGAAGGAGTGCCAAAACAAAAAGAAATGAAGTAAATCTCTTTTTCCCTCCCTCCTGCAGTGGTAAATGTAGGTCTCACTCTATCCAAATCCTAAACAGTCAACAGTGATTGATGGCGTGAGCCAGCAGAGGAACCACGAGCTAAGAGGAATTTGACAGTCCCCATACATTAAGAGCAGAGAGCTTTTTCCAGTCCCTGCTGTCATCATTACAAGAACAAGCCTCACTCAAACTGATCTTCCAGCCCATAATAAATCACTCTTAATTTAACTTTTTGTTGTAGGAACAATACGGTCTCGGTGCCGCTGCTTTTTTTTTACATCCCACAGTGGAGACACGCCGACATTATTCATAATTCAGGTCAGCTTTTGAACAGCAGTTCACGTGTCGCAATTTGGCGGCGAACGTGTCACGCGCTTGTCATGTATTACAGGCACGTTAAGGGCATTAAGCACTTGTAGGGCCTTCAGGGACAAGTCATTAGTGATGAATATTAAACCTCCCACATGTGGCGCGTTAGAGACACTTACGTCCCCACTATACCTTTTGATGAATAGCGTCATCTAATCGTATTTGCCACTGGAACATAACAGGGGAAGAACAAAGCTTCATCTCCTGTAACTCTGCACGGCGACAGAGGGGAACATTCAAGCATTATTGTTCTGCACTCCAAGTGTAAGTAATAGGGGCTGTTACAGGGCTCATAGACAGACCTGCAGAAGGAGGATATTAGAATTCGAGATTACCTGGAAAACCTTTGTTTCTACAAGTACCCAGCAATTCAGCATGCATTACGCCCATAGTGCCATTACATGCCACTTGAGTCTCCCTCCTGACAAGCAGAGATAATGAGGATGAAGAGACCCAAATAAGATAAAGGTAGAAGCTACAAACAAGCAGGTGAGAATGTCTTTATTTTGCAAATCAGATCCTCTTAATTACCGCCATCTGTTGTCTGAAGAGTGGATGAAGTGTTGCGTTTTGAATTGGCAATTAAAGATAAATAAGCAGCGCAACAGAAGGAATCTATTATTTTTCCTATGAGGGTAACACATGCAGATTAGGTGCGTTTCACACATTTTGGTTTATTTAAGCAACGTTCTCTCTTGTACTTTTAATTTTTCACTCAGGTGGTCTCTGTTAAATGGTAATAAAAGCTTTTAATTTACACATAGCTCCTGATTTAACAATAACAGTTCAAATAACGTACAAGAAAAAAAAAAAAAGAAGAAAATCCTTCTTTAAAAATGTGGAACGTCTGTGCTGCAGCAACATTTTTAGCATTGAGATGCTATTTGAATAGCTTCGCTGATTGGCTAACTCATTTTAGCACAACTTGCATACAATAATGGTTTTTTCCTGAGGTGAATCGCTTTTTAAAGCAAGAATTAACCCCCAGTGGGCAAAGAGAGACGGGTTCAATGTTGTTGTTTTCGAATGTCGCTTGTGCGTCAGATTTACTGGTGTACCGTAAACATGTGAGTACAAAGGTTCTGGTTGGAACATTTGGATGTAAAAACATGTGATTGTTTGCCCAAAAAGTTTATAAATATGTAAATAATTAATCAAAAGCTAATATAATGTTTCAAATAAATAAATAAATAAATAAATATATGTTTATTTTAATTGACTTAAACCACACATCTCAGCTTTCATACTCAGGTTTAAAATAAGCAATTTTTTAAAATTACTCTACAAATGTTGACTATAAATTGATTGTTCTTCATTTGAACAATAATTGACCATTGTAATAAGTCGGCTACACGCTTCTTTGGTTTCATCCTGACATCTATTGTATTGTTTTTTTCACGAATCTTTTCACTCGCGTTTGAAACTCTGTGTTGTTGACCGCAGTGCAAGACTGCGTAACACATTGCTGTTACGTAAGCCTCTGCGGGAGAGAGGCTTCCAGGTCAAAATAGGTAACCTCTTAGATTAATCACATGTATTCGTCCATTAACATTGGCATGGCACATATTTTGGAGGGCGTTGAACATTTTCGGTGTGACAAAGCAAAAGCCGCTAAGGCCTAAAGTGTTTTTTCGCAGGACTGATTTCCATCTGTACAGACTTCGATCCCCTGGATGGAGATAGTTGTGTGGCAGTTAGTGGAGCTGTGGAGGCAGATGAAGTTTAGGCGAAGGTGTAATTAAAGCTGATTATAGCAAGGCAGACGGGAAGGGGAGAGCAGCACATTTGTCTTCCCCACAAATGAGGTGAGTCTAGGGGGAGCTAGGAATTAGCTGCCTCTCTGTCGCCTGGTCCCCGCCACACCACTTTGTCACAAGGACACTCTTCCAGGAAGACCAGACAGGGTCAAGTGCATGTGTATCACTTGGCATTATTCTTTCGGATGGCGGGCAGGCGGGCTCACCACTGCACCAAGCACAGCGGACTGAAGCAGTTTAAGCAAGCTCGGAGCTGCACCACTTGGCCCCTGTTTCAAAGTCTAGGTTGAGAAAACACTGGATTCTCAGTGCACATAGAGGCTTTTTAATAAAACATCTGTTCATGAGATATAAAACACCTCATATTTAGTACGGAATACGCTATGCGGTCCACAAATTTCCCGATTTGTTATCATCAAACCAAATTCAGAAATGTGTTTACAATGCTGTTATTATTCACAGGTTAGGATGTCAGCATGGCGAACGTGTGTGTCCATCAGCAGTTTTTGATTATGGGCAATATGGCTTTCTACCGAGAGAAGAAGACGTGAACAAACAACTAAATTCTCTCTAATTAAAGTTCTCTATTACTGAGTATTCTTGCATCCAGTCAAAGAGAATGAGCGCCTCTTGTGGTCTGCACCGTGTAAGCACAATATAAAAAAAATTGTTTTGCACACCGACAAAAGTGGCTGTCGACAACAAAGTTGTGAGAATTGAAGCGCATGATTTGATGGTAAGTCGTAGCGCTATTTTAGTGTTTTTGAAGTAGTTCAAAACGCTTGGACCCCAACTGGACAGTTCTTCCCAAAAATCAAGATCCTTTAAAACACAATTAGGGATTCAATAAAGAAGTAATAATCAAGAAGAATGTTGTTGAACTGATTTGAAAAATGCATACAACAGAAGAACCAATTGATTATCTGTCTAATCTATTGGATTTTCTTCACGTTAGTCAGTGGGAGGAGATTCATGCGAGAATCAAGAGTCACCGGAGCTTAAGAGAATATGTTGCAACTCATAATTCTAGGATTTACATTTTTTTTCTATTGTTTTCATCTGCCTGTGTAATTATGTTCAATTGAAGGTTGTTGCATGAACAAAGGTATAAAAAATATTACAAAAAAAAAGGAAACCATCCAAAACCAGATTAACTCTTGAGTTTTCTTTTATTTCTTTATAGGTCAAGTATAGAAAAAACACATTTAGCACAATAATATTAAGTAAACAGTTGCTGCTTATCATTGATAGTAAAAAAAAACCCTAAGCAAAGTAACCTCTTTAAAGAAACCAGGGTAAAGTGGGAATATGGATTTGTTCCGAGCAAACGATGCATCCTATGGATTTTAAATAACCGCTCTCTTACATAATCATGTTTGTCTCTCTCATTCTCTCAAGGGCAACATCAATACAACATCAACTGCAACATCAATACAACACAACTCACACACTATAAATCAGTCAAAGACCCTCTACTTTCCAACAACTGTATTACCTATCGGTTAAATATTCCCAGTCAGCAGAGAAAACCTTCCCTCTGAGGAAAATTCTTTCTTTCAATGTTGAAAGGAGGCTGTGAAAGTATTTGGTGCTTATTGTGATACATTATTTACTGCCGCATTTCCCCGAGATCAGACTTCTGCAGGCGTTTGTTACGCGAGGTGATGAAGTTAGCTGGCCCCAGGTGTCCCCGCAGCAAGAAGCTTAGGGGCGCTTCCATCGCACAAATCACCAGCTGACAACTCAACTGCAGTATTAATCCTACAGAGAAATTCCCCAGCCATATGCTGGCAACGTCAGAAAGATGCATCCATCAGTCTTTTCCGAGCACACGTTGCCCATTTCAAATCGGTTTTGACAGATTCAGATTTTTCTTCTTTTTTTTTTTTTTTCAAGGACAAGAATGCATTAAAGGAGAGAAACTGGGCTAGACATAGCCTTGAAATAGGGACCTGGACTGAATTACAAGAAATCTGTATGTGATTTCCAGAGTTCAAGAAATTGCGAGAACTTTCGGGTTTGAAGCATTCTTTCTGGAACAAAAGTCTGCAACACATTGCTGAAAATGCTGAAAGACCTATACGCTGCCACAAATAGGTGAGACAGAAAAAAAAGTGACAGCTCTGTCCCGTCAATTTAGCTGTTTCATCTCCAGTCTGGTCTGTCGTGCAGGCGACACAAAGGTATTGATTCCTCCCCCCGTTGCCTCCGCTTCTTCCGTCAGGATGAAAACATTCTTCAACATATTCCTGATTCTCCTGTGATCCATAATAGCGGCAGTTGTCTCATTCACATTCGAGATATGACCCTTTCCACGACGTGTGCGGAGGAAGAATGAAATGGGGGGGGAGTATTATCCCTTGTGGTGCTCCGCCTGGTTAGACACGTGACTCCTCACACTCCAATACATTTGTTCTGTTTTGGTAGTGATTGATCCAGGCGATTGTTGAGGCCTCCTCCTGCGTTCTCTGGAGTTTCTGACAAAGCAAATCAGGTTGAAATGTGTTAGATGCGCTGGAGAAATAATAATAATTTAAAAAAAAAAACATATTCCCTACAGTGCTGCCTGCTTTGTCCAGACGATTTGGGGTTTGTTGAAGCAGGTGCATGATGTCATCTTCAACTCCAGCTCCTGCAAGGTGCCTGTTTGGTTACATTTGTACAATGAAAAAATCTCTATGGGAGTTGAGTAGTCTTATTGTTAGGGTTCTGAGTTAATATGAGGTTTTCTTTTTCTGTGTTCTTTAGTCTCTGTCTTTTTTTTTTTTATTAGATCAGACTTGATTTTGTTTTACTTTATTATCTCAGTCCTTTGTGATTCTAGTTCATTTCTTTGTCTCGATATTCTTTGTCACTCTAGTTTAATCATGTTTCTTAGGTCTAGTTGTTCTTAAGTGTGAGGTTTATTTCCTTGTGTACTCTCCCTAGTCCTCCAGGCCACTTTTTCTCCCTCCCCTCAGACCTGCAACTCATTTGTAATCAGCCATCTGCTCCTTGTTTAGTTATCTACCTCCCCAGTATATACACAACCCATTCTCAGTTTCTCCCAGTATACTCTGCTATTTGTCCTGTTTGTTCATTGTTGTCCCTGCTGGCTTTTTTCCTCATGGATTATTGGTTTTGTTCTGCTCTGGCTCCCTGTGTTCCCTGTGATTTTTGCAAGTTTTTGTTGTTGTGTGGTGTGTTGTTTGTCTTAGTTTTTAACAGACATCCTTCATCTACCAGCTGGCTTTCTGCATTTGGGTCCACTTTAAAACAACATGCCATGACACTTATGATTTGAGGGACGAAGGTGATGAAGGTGGAATTTGGTTGTTCTGCATTTGAAACAGTTTAACCTGCTTTTTGCACACTTCTGACACCTATTGGCTGAGTCAGACTTCATAAAAAGCTTACAGCGCCCCAAATTTAGGAAAACCCAAAGATTTTTCATTTATTTATGTATTTTTTTTTTTGAATGCATACTTTTCAGCCACTGTAGATTACATAAAATTCACAGATTGACATCAGGTGAGTTGTATTATTTTTGGATTTTTACGAACCTGAGTAACACTGAAGAGCTTTGGCATTTTGCAATTAAAAATATGCATCCTATGGCCAAGTTATCCATTTAAAAAAACTAATTTATAGAGCCTACATGCTGTTATTTGATGTGTGCAGAGTTCTTTGTTCTAACAGCTTTAATAAATAGGGGAATAAATTTAAGATCTTAGTTTTTTTTTTTTATTTAACCAGATGATCATTAGACATTACTCCTCACTGGAAAAGAGGTCGATTCTGGTTTCTCACCAGTTGATTGGAGCATCTGTGAATTTCTCAATACCACAGTGATATTATGTGGTATTTATTTAAGTGAAAATAAAACGTAGCCTTATGCACGAAATGCTCTATGCACGTCACTTAAAAAAGTGAGTAAGAGAGACTCACAAAGTAATTGCAAAAGAAACCCTACCATTCTGGAATAGCAAAAAACAAAGTATTCCCAAACCTTTTATTGTTTGATCCACAATTACTTCCACCTATTTGTCATCACAGGTACAGCCAGCGAATACGGATTTCTCCGAAGCTCTGCCGCCTCGTGTCCGCGAGCCACTCATCTGAAAACTCTGACCGCGCCGCGCGTTTGTCGGCGTCCTCCGACGTTGTGTCCAGAGGCAGCACTATTTGCGCCGAGGAGGAAGCGCTCAGCCTGTAAAGCGGCACTGCGGCATCGCCGGTATCACTGCGCCCCGGTCTCCCTTCCTTCTCCGGGATCCTCGAGCTCGGATCTGGGGAGAGGAGGAGGAGGAGGAGGAGGAGGTGGTGGAGCAGGAGGAGGTGCCCTGTGGTTTTTTCCTTTGCGGGGATTTATTTCGCCAGCTCTTGTGCGTTATCTATTTTTTTTCTCCCCCCCTCCCCCACCCACCCCATCCCAGCCCTCCCCCCCTCTTCTGACCAGGAGGCCTTCAACTTGTCCGGACGGTCCCTTCCTCACTCGCAAGGGTTTGCATTTCTTGGTTTTGCATGACGTGTCTTGGAGCTCTTAAAGAAAGAAAGGAAAAAGAGAGAGAGAAAAAAGAGAGGCTTGCTTTTGTTGTGTGTTCTTATAGTGGAAAATGAGGCTTGAAGAGGGAGAGACAGAGAAAGACAGAGAGAGAGAGAGAAAGAGAGAGAGAGAGAGCGCGAGCCGGAGCAGGAGGCAGTGCCAGTCCGCTGCCGCTGCCGCGGGTTTCACTGTTTCCACAGCCGGAGATCCGTACTGACAGCACAGGCGGACAAAACGGGACTGTGAGCGAGGACGAGGCGAAGAGTCTCCGCTGAGGAGGAAGAGCCAGGGAGAGTGCCGGAACACAGTTTGTTTCAAATAAGCAAATAGCATGGGGAGCTTGCGCGTGCGTGCGTGCGTGTTTGTGTGTGTGTGTACGGCGTGCGCGCGAGTCACCGGATGAGTGTCGGCACGAGGCTTCAGGGTTAAATGCATAGTTTAAGAAAAGACAAAAAAAAAAAAAAAAAAAAAAACAAGCGAACGGTGACGTTACAGTGAAGGTGTTTTTTTTTATTTTTTATTTTCTGTTCACCCCTCGCCGCCCCCCCCCCTCTCCTCTCCGGATTGGCATAACTGCATGAAATGTGTCCTGAAATGATCCCTGCATCTGTAAATGCTTGCATGGTCGCTTGGTGGACGTGCCTTTGTTTTGGATTTGTGTTTTTCTTTAATGGGAAAACTGCACGTTTTATACTTTGCGGGGTGTAGCGTGTGTGTGTGTGTGTGTGTGTGTGTGTGTGTGTGTGTGTGTGTGCGTGCATTGCATGGGCTGCAGAATTCCAGATGAGCTCCATTGCATCGTCTCCTTGGACACACTGGCTGTCATGCAAAGTTGGGAATGACGGTTGACTGAGACAAATCAGTTGTCTGCAGAAATGACGTGTCTCCTCTTTGTTCCAACCTATTGCCTTGAGGGGCTCTTCAGAAAAAAGCTTCAAGTTTGCGGGGTGAAGTTATCTTGTGCTCCTTTATGTCTGAGTGATGCAATGGGTCAAAATAGTTATTTTTGGATGCGTTAAGTGGCTGGTGGTTTGCTATAGGACAATGTCGGAATGATTTTCTGGGGGTTTGTTGTCACCCTCTTGATTCCTTAAACGGATGGAAAATAGGCCTGCAAGCTGTTGAATGTTGCAGAGTAATCTTATAAAGCATCCACATGCCTTCAGTGTCAGACAGTGGAGGTATGCACTGGTGAGTGGTGTGGTTCAGTGCAGAATGACATCACTAAAGAGTCATGGCATTTGTCCGGATTTCCTTTCTCTTTGATGTTTTTTTTTATTTTGTTCTTGGTTAGATGACAGAATTATATCAAAAGTGTTCACTCTGTGTGTGTTATCTATGATTTGTTATGGTTTTGGATCAACACCAATGCAGATGTGATTTCAAACTGCTGATAAGCTAATGTTTGGGGTGGAGGTGCACCGATCACCAATCTTTAAAAAACACCCGACTGGCCGATTCCGAATTTGGTCGATACGATTTCCCTGCATGAAAAGTAGCTAAATTGCTATTTTGGCAACAGCGGGGTGACTGTTGTTTCACAAGTAGATGAGGTTGGTGGATATTACTGGTTTCTCATGCAAGCATCACCCGATCCGATGGCGGATCACCTAAAATTAAGAAAATGTGGGCTAATTTATTGCTTAGGACCTGAAATTCTTAAGGTTTACATTTGATCCCAAAATCTTACATCTTTATTTTTAGAAATTTCTTTGGAAGTTTCAAAGCCTTCATGGCACGATACAGAACACTGATCCAAATAATGAATCACGCACAAAATTTAACTCCAAGCCTTCCAGTTCTGCATCTTATTTAGGAATCTCTGCCAGTATAATTGTGTTGTATGCTATGTTGGTTAATTAATCAGGTAGTGAGTCTGCATTCAGGCTTCTTAACGGACATGTGGCTTGCAGCTTTCCAATAGCAATTTTTAGTAGCTTTTTTCTACTTAGAGTGACTGGTGCTGCTTGTTACATTTTTTCACATTTTCCAGAACAAAATTAATCTTTCGGCTACCAAACGTGTGGCCATCTCACCAGCAAAGCGCAGCAACAGGTTGGGGAGGGAGCAGTGCTTGGTTTTTTGTGTGGTCCACAGAGCAGGAGAGAGTTCACAGTCGCATAATGCTTTATTTAGGGTTCCTAAAAATAAATCCCAAACGGAGACTAAAAGTTCTAGTAACTCACTACTACATGTCTGTATTGACAGATAAATGCTAGAAGTTATTCACACACAGTTACCATATTTATTCCGGTTTTTTAAATGGGGAATTGGAGATGTCTTACACATTTTATGAGTACCACTCCACAGGAAAAAAAGAGCCAAACTCATGTTGCATCTTTCTAGTCCGACTGACCTCACAAAACACTTGTGTTCAAAGACACTCATCCACCAAGCCAATCTTTCAAACCTTCATACACCAAATTGTTGCCTTTAAATGCCATGGCTTTCAAGAAGACATGTACATGTGGTGGGGAAAGCTAGCATCAAACCCCCAACTTTCAGATTGCCATACAGCTACTCTCCTGACTCCGCTGAGTACCGCTCCACGCTTCCTTTTGTTCTGCCGGCTTGGTCTTTGAAAGCTTGTGTGTGTGTGCAGGATATCGATGGGCTGATTAGTGATTTATGAATGACCAGAGGCAGCTTCCATCTCATCTTTGTGTGTAGAAAAGCGGAGTGTTCTGTGAAAGAGGCAGCAGTTTAGCATCCCGTTTGGTAAAGGTTTGTCGACAGTTACGATCTCTATTCCGAGGCTCAAAGACCCGGTTGTGGGAGAACCCAGAGTTTACTCACCAGATGTGATTCTAGCTGTCCTCATAAAACATTCATACTGCGTTGTGCACAGTAGCATGCAGCACCCTCTACAACAGTGACTTAACTAAATGACCTTTGCAGAGTGAACATGTGCAAATGCATGCTCTCTCTCTCACTTTTTCTGTCTTGATTCTTGCAGGTGTGAGGTCGCCGTCCCGAGACCAGAGGTGTCAGTCGGGGAAGAAAAATGTGGCAGCACCTGTTCACCTTACTCTGGAGGGATAAGTTCACTGAACAGACATTTGCTTTAACTTGAAGAGGCCCTACTTTGATGGAATTGGGAGCTTAGTGATGGCATGATGGATTTGATGGACCGCCTTTGGGAATCTTTAAGTGGAACCCAGCTCGATTGAGTGACTTGATGCAGTTTGGAATTTCCTCTAAAAGTCTTTATCTCTTGGATATTACCCATTTGTGTTGGATCTAACCAACTGACAACACCTTCTGGGATATTGTGGAAGTTCTCCTCCAGAGGCTTTTCACTCAAAGGTTTGAGACTTTCGAGGGCGGTGGGTTTTCACCTGGATGTTCGCCATGAAGGACGTGGACGGACCTCGGTCTAGCAACCAGCGGAAAAAGAGGAAGTCGAGGTCGGAGAGGAATCGGAAGAGGAGATCGAACGGGATAAGGAGCAACCACGTCAAAGGCTCGGTGTTTCGCCTCTCCTCAGACTCCGAGCGGGAGGCGGAACGGGAGCCCTCCTCGTCCCGGCCTCGACCTCCGCGGAGGAAGCGAAAGGAGTCTACTTCGGCCGAGGAGGACATCATCGATGGCTTCTCCATCACAGGCTTCGTCACCCTTGAGGCTCTAGAGGTGAGTCACTGACTTTTAAAAATTTGTTTTTAATCTTTGCCTTTAAATTGAACCTAAGACCCTTTAAATTTCAAGATAAGGTTTGCCTGTGTTCTTGGAAGTCCCATCGTGTTGCCTTCTCTCTGCATATTTGGCTGCTCTGCGATCTAGTGTTGAGCAGATGTTGCTTTAAATGCACTGCTGTAGCCAGAGATTACCATCTGTGTCACAAAAAAAGGGGCTGCTATTGTTGCTGAATGTACTGCTCTGGGTATGCTTTCACAACTTCTCCAGCAGATAAGGAGCTGTGCAGCTGTGGCAGCAGTGAGTCTTTGTGGACTTTTAAGAGAAAAAGCAATTTGATCCGCACTACGACAATTTATTCTGAGAGGGAGTGATTTATTGCATGCTGGCTATCCATTTTCCTCGATATCCAAACGCAGCCAAGTCTGTGTTCCAGAGGTCTGAATTATGACTTGTAGAGCACAACTGTTACATTTTTCTGTTATAAATATGTGATGGCCAAGGGAGCAATGTTTTATTAAGATACCGGGACTCCAAAAGCCACTAGAACATCTCGAGTGTTTCCTTGGGTGTGGAATCTGAAAATTGTACTAGATATTTTCAAATATATTGCTTGTTTTGGTGATAAACTATGATGCCATCATATGTGTCAGACTTGTTAATCTGTTCACTGCACAAGTAAATTACATCTGGGGCCAGTAGAGGACGGATAGTATTTTTAGCCCTCTATGTGTGTCAGTTTTTGCTGTGATAGTACCAATAAGACTTTTCATGGACTTTATGGTGTTTTTAAAAATTATGACTGATTCTGATTTTTTTTAATCAAAAAAAAATATTTAGCTAAATAACATTTAGCTAAATAGTTAAATATTCTAATTTAACTGTTTAGCTATTTCTAGATTAATTATGCAAGTTTTTGTGGGGTCATGTTTACCAGAAGAAACTTGGGGTGCATTCACACCAGCCCTGTTTAGTCCGCTTTAATCATGCTCTGGTTTGTTTGACTAGAAAGTCTGGTTTGTTTGTGGAGGTGTGAATGTGTAATCAAACTCTGATATAGACCAAAACAATTATCTCAGGTCTGCCCGCAAACTTTAGGTCTTGACTCGGTTGACGTGAACTCTGGTGTGGTTAGAATGCGTATGTCAATACCAAGAGGACCGGAGATCACTTCAAAAGCAGGAAGTGGACCATTGCACAGGGCATTTTGCGTAAATACAACTAAAACAAATGCGCATCTCTTGGGCTAGTGCTTACTTGGTAACATATTCAGTGATGCTGAAACTAAACAGACATAAAGGGGAGATGGCTGGTGAACTTGTTCATGCCTGTAGTCACGCTCCATGTTTTGTTAAAGGGAAAGCCGATTGCGAAAAGAAGCCGATTGAACCGTACCGATGTGTGTCTATGATCATGTGTCGGAGGCCGAGAGCTCTCATTAGGCTGTATTAAATTCAGAGTAACATAATGTGTAACTGGCTGTTGTCCCAGAAACCTTGACATCTTGCCCTAATCTTACGCTTGGAGGGGCACCAGGTGGTCGTATCACGTCTAGTGATTTGTTCTTCAGTTGAAAAGGTTTCTTTAGTTTATTTTTAGATACTGTCTGAGTTTTTTTCGGTCTCATCATCCTAAGTAGTATATTACGGTTATGCCTCAGGGTTTTTTTTTTAAATGCACACTTAGCACTGTGTAGGTTTTGTTGCTTGTGTTACATAAGCAGACAGACCATCAGCACTTGTTTTTACACTATGAGGTAGTCACCCTGGTTGTCTGTTATTGTCATACTCACTACCTGCTTCAGCTCGAATCTCTCTCTGCTGCAGAAAATGGAGCAGAGAGGAGCAACAATGGTGTCACCATGACCCGGCTCAGAGGTCCATAATAAACCGGGAGATACACCATGTACTTTGAAGACTTTAAAAACCACATTCAATCAAGTGAAGGTTAAAACGAACGTCTCTAATATGAAATGTAAAAATTAGTGCTCTGTGGTGTCATCGAGTGGAGTGATGTTGCAAGTGTGGATCTGCAAAATAGAGCTGGATCTGGCCATGAGTGACTGAGGAAGAACAGGTTAAAGCCACGATTGTTGGGAAAGGGCTTTAGAGAGGTCAGCTAGGAGTTGGCAGCTTCTGAAAAAAGAAGCTCACATCCTGGACCAACACCACATCAGATGATTGGACTAGTCCAATGTCTCATTAGACTGCTAATGAGAACAAAATAACTGTTTCCCCCCACCCCTAAGAACCATGCTTAAATTTGAATAGAGAGTAACATTATGAACTTTATCATGATAAATTTCTTATCATGACAAGAATTTTAACTCCATGATCCTGTGAGCAATTTAGTGAAACAAATCACACTTATTTATGTGAGAATAACGAATGCTGTTTAATCGTCACTTTCATCGTTGTCATCATAGTACCGCAAAATATCCGGATGAAATTTACATCCACCCCCTGTAGAGAGAAGAAGATAAAACTTCTTGTGGATAATGTCTTCAGATGGAAACAGCCTCTTCTAATCCCCACTGTGCTAATTTATTCTGAGTTCATCACTTCATTCATCGCTTAAAGATGAGCAATAATAAATGAGCTATGGATTATATCAAAAGGCCTACACTAGGGGAAAACAATCTTTCCCTCAGAAATACCATACGATGGATTCACAGCCATCTAAACAACCTGCTTGTTGATCATAACACTCAAGGATCAGCGAAACACTGCACTTTTTTAAGATCACAAGAATTTCACTTGTGGAAAAAGAGATTTATTTTAGCTCGACATAAAGTAATGATGAAGGCCATTTAAATGAAAGCTTTGCAGAAGGAACTAAAATGTTGAAGAAAAGTCCGAATCGAGTTTTCATACACAAAATAAAGAAAAATGTGGACTAAGGGTTAATGGACAATTTAATTTTTCAACTGAGATCAAAAACGGGGCACAGTGACAGGTGTCTTTTTGTAATTCTTTTGCAGAAACATTTTCATCGAGAAAACACCTTAGCAGCAGCTTATTTGAGCATTTCGAAGCTCCCCGTTGTGTCTGTCTAGATTTTCACTCCTTTGTATTAACGCATATTGAGTTACTTTTGCCCATTAGAACTGGCAGTTATGTGTTTTTAGAGACGGGCTCAAATATTTGGAGTTGAGCTTTCCACTCTAAACTGTTTGAATTACATTTACTTTGTAAAACACAGAGTTCTGATTGAATTTGAAGCGAAAGAAAAGAGAAATTTGGGGGAAAAAAAATTTCATATCTGAATACTGGATACTCTGACAAGAAATCAATGAAATGGATCATTAAAAATTGCGTCTGAAAGAAGAGCGATGTTCTTTTTATAAGGCTGTGAAAGTCCTCCACTTGTATTTTTCTGCTCTTGACATTTTTGTTTTCCTTCCTCTGACACACTACCAGGATTCGGTGTATTCTATTTACCTTCCAGCTTCGATCTAATGTCTGCTGGCCCAAACAATTATTAGCTCTGAAATCCAGTTTCACACCAATCTGTCTCACGGACGCACACAGACGGTGGGATTATGAGGGATTCCCCCTGAAATAAGGTGGAGATAACCGGGGTCACCGGGTGTGAGCGTGGGGAGGATTTTCATGACTCAAGACGTGAAATTAATTGATGACTTGCTGTACCTGATTGGCTCTTCACACTGAGAGATAAAAGGGACAAGACACCAGTTAGAGATCCACCAATCAATTATGGACAGACCAAGTGATCAATTTTCCGTTGATTTTTTTTTTTCTGTGACTGGGGATCATCAGAGGTGTAACGATACATAAAACTTACAAGATGAGACGAAAAGCCATATGGCGTTTGCGAAAACGAGATGGGACAAGATTGTAATAGTTCTTGTCGAGAAAAATTAAAAGATTAAATTTATGTCGCTAAAAAGTCTTTGCACTTGTCTAGGTTTTGCCACAATCTCAACAACTTGATGATATCTTTGTATTTCTGGTTTCTTGACACTCTTGAGGCCACAGGACAGTTCGTGAACGCCGTGACCGTGATGTAGTTGAACGTACATAGCCATGGCGATGCTGTAGTAGTAGTTGTGGTAGATGCTGTAGAGTAGTTGTGGTAGTTTCTTTACAATTTCACCAGGAAAATTGTGACCTCATGCTTTCTCGCAAACTAATACTCGCAAAATAGCGGCCACCTCCATGAGAAATATGGCGGCGTCTCTTGTATGTCGCGCTTTTGCTACAATCTGCATCTGCAAACGTTGAAAAATTGGATTTTGTTTTTCTGCTTTTCATTAAATGCATCAAAACGAAGCAGTTCTAACATTGTGAATGTACTATGATGCATACTTGAGTTTAGCTAAAACAAAAAGGTCAGTGATGGATTGATGGAGATAAATCTGTTATCCCTGGATGTTCTGTTAGATTATAAACGAAGACCTGGACCAAAGAAGATAGCAATTCTTTTTGTCTGCATTCCTGAAAGAAAAAAAAACATTGGTATCAATCTAAGTCAGAATCCCCATGTCAGACCTGAAAGTTGACCGGATATTGGTGTTGAGTAAATAAAGAGCGTTGCTCCCACACAGCTCTGTACGGACGGTCGGTTTCCATTTAATAATGTGACATTTTCTGCTCTGTGCTGTTCATGGGATGATTCTGTCAGCACGCCAGCTTTTTCAAAACAATTGATTTGTCTGGCTCACCCCCAGAAGTGGAGGGTCTAAAGACAGGCAGTGAGAAACACACCGATTTAATAATGCACAGCAAGAAACAAGCTAATGGTAAATCAAATGCATCGGCGGAAGACAAAAGAACTGGACAAGGCAGAGACAGACAGTTTGTTAAGCTTTGTTTCACAAATCAAAGCCGGTGGGACAAGAACTTGCTCATTGAGCCGGTTTTATAGGACAGTTGTTGTTGGACCATGCCGCCTCGACAGATATTTGTGTTCACTTAATAGATCCACTTTCAGCCGTTTTTTTTTTTTCACCTTCTAGAGATTTGTGTGTTCAGTAA